TGTGCTGTGCACCAGGCGAGGATGCTTTACACTTGAGAGATGAAGTAATAACAGGTGGCAAGACCAGAGGCTGCCAGAGCCCAGGATTCCAGTTGCCATGGAAACATGTCAGACCTCTGGAAGGATGGGAACTGTCAGCCCGGGAGGTTGGTGGGGGGACAAGAGAGAGGGGCGAGGAGAGGCACATCTCCTGGAGGGTTCTTCTCACTGCCCCCAGATTCCCCAAGGGCTGCACACGTAACTAGCAGGCGCCAGAACCGCCGCTGGACTCCGGCTGGGTTAGGACCGTGTAGCAGGCACAGAGCATGGCCATGTATTTGTACACATCAGGCCCTGGCAGGCGGTCTGAGCGTCTGCTCAGGATGTGAAGTCACGCTTTTGTGGATGTGCCATGAGGAGCCTACATATCTGGTCTATTTCCTATTTCCCCAGGACACTTGGGATACAACTCAGGTCTCGGCAGAGCCAGCTGAGGGGCTGTTAGCTGGTGGCCTGATTGTCCATGCCACTCAATCTTTTCATGAGTAGCGGGCATATCACAGCAGAGATCTGGCTGAAGGGGAGAAGGACAGTCCTGTTTGGGTGGTAGTTTTATGGAAGATTTGGGGCCTTGTTTGCCACAGACGTGGCCTGATTAAAGTAGAAAACCCCGTGGTGTGCATTTTCCACAGTGACTGATCGCCCTTCGCTGAGCGTGGTGGTGGGGCTGTTTGAGGCCTGGCCTTCCTTTCTCTTGGTTTGATCTGTGTGAGTGCTGCCTCCCACCTTCTGGGGTTTCCCCTCCTTCTTCATGAACTTTGTTCCTCATTTCCACTCTTGACTTCCTTTGAGCTTTTTAAAGTTACCTGCCCCAGGTAAATTCCTAAACTCTTAAGGCTCACTTTATTTTTCTCAGCAGCTTCCTTGTATTTCTTCTTACACGATCTCAGCCCATGCACATTAGTCAACAGAAAGCCGAATCCATCACTGTGGGCGCCGCCATTGAGATACCACTCTGGCCTTTGCCCTCACTGTCATCTTGTTCTGTAAAGCGGGACTCAATTTCCCATAAGCAGAAGCAGAATCTCTATTTAAATCCCACTTGCAAAGTCTGGGCAAGCTTCCTATTTATAGTAAAATCCCTTTTATAATGATCTCATAAACGGCACCAGGCAATTGCTCGTGGCTGGGTCAGGCCGAAGGCCAGTAAAACCATGGTGTGAGCTTTACTTAAAGAAGTTCCTTCATGAGCCTCTCGGATTATCTGGAGAAGTGTTTTTTGTTTCTTTTTTTTGCAGAGCATATGACAAGAAACAGGGTGATCCCGGATGGATCGTTGTGATAGGAACATTAAATTTGAGTTCAAAGGGAATTTCCTCTTTTGTCAGGCCACCCTCAATTTTTCTTGCTTTGGGATTCCTAAACAGCGAATTAAGGGAATCAGGTTCACTAAAGACATTCATGAAATATTTTACATGCAGAGTATGGTCAGAAGGTGTTTGCCTCTGGAATTCCCAGGTGGCAGAGAAGTGTGATTACAGCTGAGAGTCTCCGGAGACACAGACGACCTGGAGGTGAATCCCGGAGCCAGCCCCCATCTCTGTGGATGTGGGGGTTGCCTCATCTGCCCGATGATCCCGACGTCAGAAAATTTTTTGCGAGAATCATGAAATGACAAGTGTGAAACATAGAGTGTGAGATCCATTAGTTTTGTAGTGTAACAAATGTTGGCTGCTTTTTCTCAAAAAGCAGTTAAACAAGAGAGGTTGAGTGAGTAGGGACAACCTATAATGTCCCCTTCTCAAGAGACGAAGCATAGTCTTACGTAGTTTCCTTGGATGTCTGTGTGTAGGATGGTGTTTCACCTACCCCAGGAGGGGCACCGTGTTCTCCCAGCAGCCCAGGGCGCTCAGCCACCCACTGTGTGCACTCTGGGAGTTAGACGTGACGCTGGGCCAGGTGACTGACCAGCCTCTCTGGACGTGGACCTGCTCTGCTCTCTGAGGACCTGGGAGGTAACCCAGGCGGTGAATGATACTCAGAACAGCCGATAACTCTGCCCCAGGGAAAGCAAACACAGCGCTCCATCCCTGCTGGGAGGCCCCAGGGGCGTTATCACTGTGCTGCCTGCTGACATCTCTGCCATTCGTCTCACATGTTATTAACCATTTCCTGTGAGTGGGATGTGTAGGCGTTCTGAAGATGTGTTCAACATGGTCCCTGACCTGATGGCGTGGGTCATTTAACGTGGGAGGCGGGCAGGTGCATGCTTGTATAAACCAGAGAACCATCCATAGAAGCGTTGTCAGCAGAGTGCCCTCCCGAAAGCCTGACTGGTCATGTCTGGCCCGGGAATTGGGAGAGCTTCATGGGAGAAGCCAGTCCTAAATACCAAAAAGTGTATGAGAACCAGAAGCAAAGGTGATCGATTAGTGTATTCCATGCCATTTTCCCAAGGTAGAAGAAAGCTTTGAACTCACTATCATGAGCAAGTAGGAACTGAAGCAAAAAGGATTTTGCCGAAAGTGAAGCATAACCCTTCAGTATCACTTCCTGCACTGAGTCCGTGCTGTGCTGCAATGGAACTCCCCCTCCCCGCCCTCCTGGCATGTCACAGCTGCACACACCAGGGCCCACAGAGGTTTTGGCACCTTTCGACCCCCTTTGGCCAGGTACTTTGTATGGCTAACCAATACACGTGGGGACCCTGTTCTGATTTAGTCTGCTCAGAAACTTCTCTCCATCAGAGGAATTAAATTCTGTCCCTTTGGTTTTTTTAAATAGGATCAATTTCTGAATCTTTGTCTGCTTTGCTCTGCTGGATCATTTCTGAATTTTTGTATTTCTCTAAGTATTGGAGTCTCTGACTCAATGGGGCATTCTACCAATGGTCTGCTGGTGGTAAAAACTGGGAAGAATTATCTGGGAGTCATTATACTCTGCATTCTCCTTCTTCATCCTCATAAATCACAAGGGGTACCGTGGGCTGGAGAAAACCAGCTTCACTGGTTGCTTAAAGACCCTATGAAAGGGGGAAAGTCTGACATAAGAGAGAGTCCCTAAGAGGACAGAAGAGAGACAAATGGTGGGACAGGGCCTCCTGAGGGTGTCAGGGAGATAATACACATGAGATTATTCGATTTTCATGCAGGAAGCACCTACGTTGTGACTGGCATCTCCACATTTTATGTCTGGTTTATACCAATCGTGAAATTTAACTTTGGTTTACACTCGGCCCCTGAATTTAATATACCCCACTTCTTTCTCTTCACTTTTTGATTCATTTCCACGACAGCCTCTTAGTGAGGAAACGCTGAGTTTATTTGCATCGTAGATGTGCCTGGGCTTGCTTAAGAGAGTTCTAAAGATGGTTCGGGTGGCAGTTGAGAGAGAAGGAAGAAAGGGACTTCCTTTTGGGTTTGGGCAATGAAGATTTTATAGGCAGAGTAAAATTTTTGCCGAGGTACTGATTTTTGGAGATTTGCAAAACCATTCTGTGTGACGCGCAGATGCCTCTGAGACACAGAGACTGATGGAGAAAAGCCGACACTCAGCAAGCCACAGGGTGTGGCCAGCTCCTCTCTGCCCCCAAACAGCCAGCACTCCTTGCAGAGATTTGTCTGCCTCCCTGAAGATGAAAACCAATGACTTGGAAACTGATTAAATCATTCAAATAGCAACTGATAAATGGATTAACCCACTATAATGTAATTCTGCAAGCTTTTGTCTTCTGCCTTTCCCAGGTAAGTTTTTCTATTCCTGGAGGCAAAGCAGAGGATGGAGGAAGCGAAGGCCAGAGGGAATCATATTAAAGTGGGTGAATCCGTTTATCACTTACTGCCTGGATGGTGTTTCTGCTCACATATCTGCTTCCTTTTACAGATTTGTACCCTACGGGACCCTGATTAATGTTAGCCAGTGAATAATGAAAGACAGCGGACATTGGGTATAGCAAGGAGGAAGATGCCCCCGTGGTTTAGGCTGATCCCATAAATGGAGGGACTTTTCTTCCTAGTCACAAACAGGGAGTGTTGATGTGACAGAAATGTCGACAATAGGGATAGAAAAACAGGAAAATGGAGGTGTTTCTCGCCAGCCAAGAACCTGTCCAAGGCCTTACACCCAGGCAGTAGAAACTGAGAATGATTTCAGTGCTCGAGGATATGTGCTCTTCTCACAAGGTTCTGGTTTTCAGATCATGTCCCCAGATTTTTCTTCGCTTTTGAATAGGATTTTCATCGTCGGGGGATTATGAGGGTCTTAAGCCTCAAGACATGCTCACTAACTCACTGTTCAGTCCATCCCTGGCACGAGGCTCAGCTAAGTATCCAGTCTGATTCTAGGCACCTGGGCTCTGCTGGTTAAACTAGTCCTGGGTGCTTTCCCTGACCAGCGAGTCTGGACTTGGGGACATACAGCTGAAGAAGAGTGAACACCTGTGTACCTGCCAAAATGTTCTTCAGAGTCCCCAAGAGCATCTTCAGTGGCCTTTCTAGAAGTGACCACCCGTCAATGAATGCTGCTTTGATTCCTACTCAGGGACAGTAGGAATATCTCCTAAATGCGAGCATCTTTCCGAAGGGCCAGGCCTAGGCATTGACCATTCTCGCTCCCTCCAGCCACACTGCTGTTTATGACTGCCCTCTGCTATCTGGGGCCTTGGCCCTAGGAGCTGGTTGCTCGGGGGTGAGAGACGCTCACTTGCCCAGTAGGCCTTTTGGGTGCTGTGCTCTTCAAGGGATGCGGTCAGAGGAGCAGGCTTGTTTCTGTAAAAACAAAGAGCTGGCAAATCTTGCAAACAATCAGACTAAACTTGGGGTGGCTTGGAAAAATAATGGTTCTGTTAAACTGAGGAGGGTCACAAAGAAACCACCCCAGGTTAACAATTTGGTTGCAACAAAACCTCAGATTCTACACTTCCCATTCTTTCTGGAACAGATTTTGCCACACTGTGGGAGAAGAGAGGCTGGTAGAAATTTATCTCATTCTAAAAGTGGATTTTTAAAAAACTGTTTCTACAGCCCAGAAAGGACCGGATGGGACAGTCATTCCTAATAACTACTGTGACTTCTGCTTGGGGGGCTCTAACATGAACAAGAAGAGTGGGCGGCCTGAGGAGCTGGTGTCCTGTGCAGACTGTGGACGCTCTGGTGAGTGTGGCCCCTTCTTGCATCTGTGCCCGTAGATCAGGGGCGGTTCCACCTGCGTGCCTCTGCCCTCTTCTGCGGGGGTTGCGGGGTGGAGTGGGGAAGTTGGTGGTGGAGAGGAGTTTTCAGGTCATCTGATATTTTTCTTCTTTGGGTCTGAAGAAACAAAATGATGCCTTGGGATCCAGGGAAAAGGGAAAGGAGAAAATTTGGACTTGGTGTTTGGCTTTTTCATGAAGTGGGTATTTCTCTGTGTGTGTTGTTGTGGACGACTGTGAGCTAGTGTGGAAACACCTGGGGATCCAGGCAGTGTTCCTTCTTGTGTCGGGTGATGTGCATGCACCAAAAAGACGTGTCTGTTCTGTGCAACTGCCTGGGCCACAGTGGGAGAACATGGAAACATAAATGCTGGGAGAGCAGCCACGACTTGCACTGTGGGAGTCAGCGACCCCTGAGCTCCTCGGTAGTGGCGTAAATACCACGTCCCTTGGCCGCTCATCCTGCTCTCTCATGTGGAACAAAAGAGAGACCCTGGTAGGGCAAAAGGGCAAGTGTTCTTACGGCAAGTCTGAAGTTGACGTGGCATGTTTTGAAATTTTCATCTTTAAGACTAAATTTTCATCTTTGAAGACTAAAATAAAAAAAGACTTTGATCTTCCTTCATTCGTAAAGTGAGTTCAGGTTTTCAAGTTTTATTCAAGTTATTGGTTGTTCTTCAGTTCTAACCAAACCATTACTTTTGGCTGGTTGTGGTTGGTTGGGATTTTTTTTTTTTTTAATGTCATAACTAGGCCAAAGAAGAGGTTTCACGCTCATGTTTGGTTTCGTCAACTACTGATGTCGTAGGTGGAACACAGTTCAGTAGGACAGGTGGTTCCAGCAGCGAGGAGTCGTTGCCCCTTCCCACACTCTCCCCGGTCTCCTCTGCCCTGAGTCCCGAGGACAGCACTGAGACAACCTCACCTGGCTTTCCTGTAGCAGCTCAGTTTTTCCTTGGCTTTGTCCACGAACCTTAGCCCCCCCCCCCCCCCCTTTTTAATTTGTCTTTTGTGTTGTTTGGGGTTCAAGACTGACTTGAGTAGCAAATCAGTGATTGAAAAAGGGCTGGTTTCCACTGCATACAACTCTCAGCATCTAACGCTTAAGGGCCCTGACGGGTGGCTGTCCGTGCAGCGCTGTCAGTTCACTTACCTTGCAGGCGTGATACCTGCAGGTACCCGCAGGTTGAACTTTCTGCCCTCCCGGTTCCAGCCTAGAAAAGAGGGCCCATGGGATAGTGGGCTCTGGGGTTTAGATAGTTAAAAAGAAAATGAAATTCAGTGTTTTTAGAAAGTGAGCGACCCCTCAGAGGCGGAGTGACACGCCTGCTGTGGGGTGCGTGTAGAGAGGGTGGCATCAGCATGCTCGGTGCAGGCGGCTGTGATGTCCCCCTTCCTTCCCTGCAGGGATGGGGTGCTTGAGTCTGATCCGTGGGGGCCGCGAAGTGGGCAGTGGGTTTTTTTCTATTTGAAGCCTCTCTCTTCACAGCCTTTACTCAGCTTTTTCTTCCCAGGATCTGTGTGCTCTGTGACACAGGGGCCACTCGGGTGGATAATTTAGTTAAGATCTGACTCTGATTTTCCTGACATAGTTGACACTTTGGGAATAAACAGGTGGCGTTGCCCATGGGGTGAGCTTGGTAAGCAGGGTTACGGATACTTGTCTAGGGCCTCCCTGGGGTCCTTCTCAGGAAGAGTGTGGAGCTTGGAAGAGCTGTCTTCCAGTCCATCTCAATTCCTCTGCTTCCTGGGGGCAAAGTGGGGTTCCTGATACTGGTACCAGGCATGGCACGTCATGACCTCCCGCACTGGGAGCACTCCTGGGTCCACTGAGAACGTAGGAGTTTGAACCTGAGTGATTTCAGGATAGAAACCCTATTTTTCACTTTGTGCTCTGAGTTAGATTTGACAACTGTGGACTTCCTGGGGTAACAAAGACCTGGGTGCGTGTGAGTGTGCGTGCACGCGCATGTGTGTGCACGCATGTGTGCCCGAGTGCAGATCAAAGTAACATCGTCCAGTGGTTAAAGCAAGCAAGGGGCTCTCAATAGCTACCATGTCAGTTTTCAACTGCTGTGTACTTTCAGTGCAGATGAGCTCCACGGTGTAAGGGCAGACTTGAAAGGGTACCGAAAGAATGGGATTAGAGGCAGGTAAAAATAAGAATAAAACTGAGGGAGGCTTAACCACCTTGAACGGGCTGACAGTAATACCTTCGTAGAGCTGACTGTCAAAAGTGAAGGACAAACATTGTGCAAAGAAACGCCAATGGGAAACACCAAAAAAATACCAACCAGACTAAAAAGCCACCAAGTAAACTCATTGTCTGGGGGGTGGAGTGAATGTGTGCGTGTGTGCGTGCATTTGGAAGAGAAGAAAGACATGTCTCGGGTGAGTCTTCCACTGTCAGAGCTGTGGACGGATATATCGTGGTGGACATGATGCCTCTTCAGGGAGGGAGGAACCCTTTCCCCTGCAGTTGTTGGCTTTGTCCTTGCACCCCAAATCCCTGTCACCAGGTGATGCACCCGTTAATCTCTTTTGGTATGAAATGGTTTATGATCTTGCTATGAAGAATAACATTGCGATAATATAATAAGAATATTAATAATGCTGTCTGTTGCTTAACCCATGTGCTGATATATTCATCATACATGTCAGCTCATTTGGGAGGAGAAGGCAGTAAGGAGAAGGAGGCAGCGGCTGCAGCACGCACCACGGAGGACTTATTCGGTTCCACGTCAGAAAGTGACACCTCAACTTTCCACGGCTTTGATGAGGACGATTTGGAAGAGCCTCACTCCTGCCAAGGACGCCGCAGTGGCCGGGGTTCGCCCACAGCAGATAAAAAGGGCAGTTGCTAAACCCATGAACAGACTCGCTGGGCAATTAGCCATCACCCTCTGACTTTGGTCATTGTTCTGGTTCTGATATATTTTTTTAAAATGAAAGACAACTTTAGGTTTTCTCTTCATCCTTGCTTTTTCCTCTTACCTTCCATGCACCCCTTTCCCCTTTCCCTTTGTTTTGAGTATGTACAGCAGAAGCACAAACTACTGAAACACAACAGGACAGAAGAGCCCAGTAGTCCCTCAGCTGCATCGTGATGTGCTATTTATTTTCCAGAGAAGTGGGAGGTTAGGCGAAATATCTTTTTGGGTGGGGGGAGGGGATCTTTTTGACAGGAACAGAGTTGATTTCCTCAGTTTTCATATTTATTGGCAAAATGAAGAGAGGAGGAACACTGGGGTTTGGAAACAAGGAACCAATTACATTAAATAAATTATTATTTATATATTCTAACTACTAGAAACTGACTTTTTTTTTTGAGAGAGAGAATGAAGGGAAATCAAAGAAACTGAAGTAATATCTGTTTAGAAGAAAGCCACCGGGGGGAGGATTGGTTCGGGGAGACTCTGTCGGGGGGGTTTCCTCGACGGGAGGTGATTGCACTTTCGGCACCCCGTGGCGTTTGTGGCTCCCCACGGCCGACCCCTCCCCGTGTCTCCTCCCTGGCCTTTCTGTCTTCCTCCCTGCTTGCGAGGAGACGGCAGCAGTTTCTGAGAAGTGCCGTGCGTGGCCTCCCTCCAGTGTCGGGGGCCCCGTGAGCGGTGCCTCCTGGGCTCCTTTTCCTCAGCGTAGCCACTGTCCGGTGGGTGCTGGTTTTTCCTCATTTTCCTCCTGGTGAAGAGCAACTTCCAGAGGCAGGAGTGGAACGTAAGCAGAAAGTCATGGACTCAGCAGTGAGAAAACAACCCGAGGCTGCACTTGTGGAAGAAAGAATGATGCTTGAAATGTGTTTCCCTCCCCCTTGTCCCTGTTTACAAACATATAAATTCCCGCTGGATGATCGAGCCTCCCGTATTTCTTCTATTTTTTATAGTGCCCTCCAGGCACTTTGTTTTATGTTTCCAGTAGCATCTCCTGAAATAAACCAAAGCCACACTTGATCAAGGCCCCTGGGGCAATGGAGAAGACCGTCCACCTTGTTGGCAGACCCAGGAATGAACCGCTCTGCAGTCCTGGTCAAAAGGTACGTCTCGGCCGACCTGTGTTACCAGGAGGGCAAACCGTCATAGTTGTTTATTTTCCCCTTTCCTTCCTTTTCCCCCCTACCTTGTGTTTTTGTTTTTCTGGGGTTGGGCCCCTCCGTAGTGTGGGCGTGGCTACTGAAGAGTCTTCCACCCGCCTTCTGCTGTCTGTGCGCATGCACCCTTGACGTGGGCCAGGGCCCAGTGTGAGAGGACTGAAGCTTGCTTGGGCTCTGTGTGGAGAATGGGGGGTTTCTGGCTTCTGGTTCAAGCATAAGAGAAAGTGGCTGGGGTAGTGCTTGACTAACTGCCTTCACTGGCTACACGTGGAGGCGGGGGGCATCCAGGGAACTTGACTTCGGAGTTGGCTGCCGAACTTGGGTAGGAACGAGGGGACATGGCCATAGGGAGACTGCATGTTTAGGCTGATGTTCCTTGCTCCAGGCACCAATTTAACATCTAAAGGAATGCATCCAAATGAAAGCAAATCTCTAGTTAAGCACAACACTCAACTGAACTGACGTGAAGATGAACTCCCACCAGGTGTGGTCAGGTTCTGTGGTCTCCCTGAGAGCACGGGTCCAGAGGCATGGGCACTGCCATCTGGTTTGGGTTGGGAGATGAGAGAGGCCACCCAGGCAACAGGCTACTTTTAAGTGTCTGGGAAGATCTGCTTTGACAGTCTAGCCTTTGCAGGTCCTCATGAATTAGACCTCTCCTTCAGATAACCAACCAACCACACGAAAGCACGGACCAAGCAAAGAACCCCACATGTGGGCCCTTTGTGCTTCTCCGGTAGCCGGAGACAGGGCTTCCACTTGTCTCCTGCTTCAAATGTGTAAGTGCCCACCTGGGCGTTTGTTCTCAGTTGTGAGAGAATGAAAGTGACCACCTCACCCACCTTTGGGATGTTCTGCCTCATCGGTATGTGGCC